ACGCACTTCGAGGTGCTTGGAAATGCGCTAAAACACTGTCTTAAGTGTTTGGTATATCCTCTCGATCCAAACTAAAAGTAAGGAAAAACGGAGAAATAAAGTCGTAAAAATGTCTGCTGATTAGGGTCAGATATCCAAACATCTTCACGGTCATGATATCCTTTGTTTAAACGTGATGAACTATTAAATTAATGAGTTCTAAGAATAAGATAGGACGGCGTACGAAAAGTACTATTAGCTCGATTGACCAACGTCGCTAACACACATGCTATTGTTGGAGGAGGAATCTGAGTAAAATAGCGAGATATTAAAGCCTATCGAAGTTAATTATTTACACCGTTCCTCAGTTAATCCGTCGTTGTGTACCTCTCGCTTGATGCTCATTCATTGTAGATTAACCACTATAAATTATTTCTTTCTGTTGAAAGAAAGTGTCCATCTTGAGGGTTTACGTGCATTTAGACAGGGATTTGATAGTTTTCTTGTTATTTTCAGGGTACTGGAGACATCTCAGGGGGGTGCAAGTGCCGCGTTGGAGGCAAAAGGTGCCATCCAAGATGTAAAAACTGTCACTAGTAAGGAGAGCTCCATACAACGAGAAATTAGGGATAATGGCCGGACCCGGCACTTGAGACAGAGGAAGACACCGTTTTTAAACCAGTGATAAACAGAAGTTATAATCACTTGAAACTAGAGATGAATGTATGATGTAATGAGGGTATTTACTTTAAGTGTTCAGAGGACTTATTGTGTGACGAAAAAAAAATGTGCCCATTTGCAAGTTATATCATATTTTTCAGGTTAACTATTTCATTTGATCAATACTCGTTTGTTACTTTTTGCAGTGCTTAGTTTTCAGCAGGGAATACCATTAGGGTTTTAAAGAGAAGTTGCCTTTACAATAAAAACTCTTTCTCGGCTTGGCTTTGCAAAGATTTCAGAAGCTGCAGACACGCTCGTTAATGATAGCCTTTGAGGGAAAGTCATACCCTGCCAGAGCACATGCGGTGCAAGGTCTGATCCGTAGACTGGATCAAAAAAAGACGTTCTTATCGTTACACTAACAAAAAGATAAATTTATTCCATATTTAGCAAGGCTGGACTTAGCCGAGTAATCATCCTTAGCTTCTTGCACCGCAGCTCCCCAAGGCCAAAGGGGCACAAGAGTGGAGCACCAGACCTCTGGTAAGCCCACCGAGCTCCGAAAACCTAATTGGTTTCTCCGTGCATAAGACCGTACGGGTGCGCGGTTTGAGTACATTGTAACATCCCGGACTCGAGGCGACTTTCGAGACTTGAGAAATTTTTGTCTCCCGGTGTAGGAATAATTTGATTTCTTCGTTTGAAATAGTTCTACGTTTGCATTTTGCTTCTACTTTCCAATTTTTTTTTTTTTAATGTTTTGGGCTCTAATTAACCAGAATAGAAACGCTTCGAGTCTGGTTAAAAATAATAAATAATCCCAACAAATTATAGATAATAAAATTGATAAAAGAGCAGTGACACTCCGCTTCTCTGCCTTAGTAGCAGCAGAGGAAACCTCTGGGACCAAGGTAGAGCTCCGCGTCTATACAGGTCTCTTTTCCCTTTTATTATCCCTGTAGGTCTAGCAGGGTCCAATCCGTTAGATAACATATCAGTTATAACAGGAACACATATTTTTACGAGGATCTAACTTAATTGGTTGGACAGAAATTGTATCTACTCATTAATTAAAGTTGTCTAATTGATGACGTTCCCAGTATGTTATTCTATTTACACCCGGGGAATGTACACGTGATAAGAATACAGTTTAAGTGGCAATAAATAATTTGTCATAAAGTAACACCTCACTGCGAAATAAACCTAAATT